TTTCATACTTGAAAATTAGAGAATTAAATAAAAATTAATGAATATTATAGGTTATATATTATTATATATAACCTATAAGTTATATACATTTTTTACATATTTATTTTATATAAAAAGGGATTTATCATAGTAAATATATATTATTTGTTTCATAATTAAAAATTACAGAATATTAAATAAAAATAAGTGAATATTATAAGTTATATATTATCATATATTCTATACATATTTATTTTATATACATACTTATGTATATCCGTTATGTAAAATCCGTTATGTAAAATCCGTTATATGAACCTTTTTTTTATAATATATGAACGTTTTATAATTCGTGATTTTTATTATATGAACAGGATATTCCTGCTATAGTAGAAAAAATACATTTAAATATAAATATAAAATAAATGATAAATAAACGTCAATGTTAAAATTGCTTTTCAAAGTTTCATTCTGACAATTTCGATATAAAAGCATTGGCGAATACTAATTGATGCATAGTAAAACGAGAAATAGCTGATTTATCAGATTATTTAAAACCCTATGAATTCTAAATATGACAAAAAAAAAATTCTCTTGTATTTATCATTAAAAAAAAAACGAAATTACTTTTCGATCAAATCAAATAGAAAAATTCAAATATCAATATTTAAAATTAGTTTTTTTTAGTAAATAATCTAGTAAATAATTGTCACATGGAGATTAAAAATCGTTAGACGTATCTGATCGAGAAAAGTGTTTTTAAATAGGTTGTACCTTTTTTCTTTCTCTCTGTATCTCTCTCTTTTTAATTGGATCATTAGATGAATAATTAATTGGTTTAGTCTTTGGTCGCAAAGGTAAACGTAAGAGAGGTCGTCTAAAAGGAAACACAAATCGATATCTAAGTATTTATCTTGAGTCTCGAGATAATTGAGAATTAATTATCGATAACCGATTTATTTACAGTTTACGAATTTTCTCCCAAGGGTAAAACCTATCTCCTTAAACTATCTAACATCAATAGGTTGCATAATTAAATAAAAAAAAATTTGTTCATGAAAGGTGATGCCTAATGCATTAAATAAATAATCGTTAAAAAAAGAAACAAAGATAATTCATAGTATCGATTATCCTTCTCGATAACAGAATTATTGAACCTCAAGTATTTATTATTACTCCAATGATTTGTCTTTCTATTCGTGTGTTTTCTGTTCTTTTTCTTTTTCATTTTTGCCTAAAGAAAGAGATGGATTTTTTCTTCCTTTTTTTTGTGTGTGTGGTTATCTTGTTACTTTCTAATAAAAGCGAAAAGCCAGGATGAATATTGGAATTCTCTTTGGTGATAACTTTCCTATGAAATTCTCAATTAATTTGCTCCCACGTTTGCTCGAACTTTTGTTCGATAAAAACAAATTTAATAATATTATTATGCAAAAGTACAAGCATTTAGATAATTAGATAGTTCACCTAGTTCTCTCCCTCTTTCTCTATTTTCGTAAATATATTAATAACATTAAAGTTCATCGTAGAATAAAATTAAATAGATCAATCGACAATTTCTATTAATAGAATTAAATGTAACGATTCTTTATGACAAATAAAAAAGCAAATAATAATTCGTAATGTTTGACACGAGAGAAAACTTTGTTTAAATAAATAAATAAATAAAAAAATAATAGACAAATCTATAA